TGTATTGGTAGATAAAAGACTGTTGAGTAGCCTTCAGGATGTACATGTTTATAGAGGGGCCACAGATACATCAGATCATTTTTTAGTTGTAGCTACACTGAGAGTAAAAGGTAGATGGGATACAAGGAGAATAGAAGCATCAGGGAAGAGAGAGGTGAAGGTTTATAAACTAAAAGAGGAGGCAGTTAGGGTAAGATATAAACAGCTATTGGAGGATAGATGGAATAATGAGAGCATAGGCAATGGGGTCGAAGAGGTATGGTATAGGTTTAAAAATGTAGTGTTAGAGTGCTCAGCAGAAATTTGTGGTTACAGGAAAGTGGGTGCGGGAGGAAAGAGGAGCCATTGGTGGAATGATGATGTAAAGAGAGTAGTAAGGGAGAAAAAGTTAGCATATGAAAAGTTTTTACAAAGCAGAAGTGATGCAAGGAGGGAAGAGTATATGGAGATAAAGAGAGAGGTTAAGAGAGTGGTGAAGCAGTGTAAAAAGAGAGCAAATGAAAGAGTGGGTGAGATGTTATCAACAAATTTTATTGAAAATATGAAAAAGTTTTGGAGTGAGATTAACAAGTTAAGAAAGCCTAGAGAACAAATGGATTTGTCAGTTAAAAATAGGAGAGGAGAGTTATTAAATGGAGAGTTAGAGGTATTGGGAAGATGGAGGGATATATTTGAGGAATTGTTAAATGTTGATGAAGATAGGGAAGCTGTGATTTCGTGTATAGGGCAAGGAGGAATAACATCTTGTAGGAGTGAGGATGAGCCAGTTGTGAGTGTGGGGGAAGTTCGTGAGGCAGTAGGTAAAATGAAAGGTGGTAAGGCAGCTGGGATTGATGGGATAAAGATTAGAAATGTTAAAGCAGGTGGGGATATAGTTTTGGAGTGGTTGGCGGTATTTTTTTTAATAAATGTATGGAAGTGGGTAAGGTACCTAGGGATTGGCAGGAGCAGATATTTCCCTTTGTATAAAGGCAAAGGGGAAAAAAAGAGAGTGAAAAAATTATGGGGAAAAAGCGGTTGAAAAAATCCCGGAAAAGTGTATGGAAGAGTTATTTTAAAATTAAGAGTAAGACGGAGAATAGGATAGCAGATGAAAAAAGGAGGCTTTGGGAAAAAGGTAAGGGGTGTGGGACCAGGTGTTTACAGTGAAACAATAAGTGAGCGTATTTAGTGGGTAAAGAGGTTTTTGTGGCATTTTGGTTTTGGAAAAGGTGTTTGACAGGGGGTGGGGGGCAATGGGGCAGATGTTGCGGTGTATGTTTAGGAGGTAGGTTACTGAAAGCAGTGAAGATTTTTTTACGAGGAAAGTGAGGCTCAAGTAGAGTTGTGGGAAAGAGGGAAAATTATTTCCCAGAAAAATAGGCTTAGACAAGGATGTGTGATGTCCCCGGGGTTTGTTTAATATACTTATGGGAGGGGGGTTTGTAAGAGAAGTAAATGCGAGGGTCTTGGAAAGAGGCGTGGAGTTAAAAGATAAAGAATCACATTTTAAAGTGGGAGTTGTCACAGTGCTCTTTGCTGTGAACTTGCTCTTGGGGATTCTAAAGAGAAGTTGCGGATTGGTGGTAAATTTTGGGGGAGGGTTTTGAAAAAGAAAAAAATTAAAAGTAAATACGGGAAAGGTAAGGTTAGAGGAAAAAAAGTTATTTTAATGAAAGAAGGGATATCAGACTGGAGGGAGAGAGTATGGAGGAGGGAATGTATTCGATATTTGGGAGTGGACGTGTCAGCAGATGGGTCTATAAAGATGAGGTAAAATCTAGAATTGATGAGGGAAAAGGGTGGCATGCATTGGAGTCTTGGAGAAAAAAGAACTTTGCCCTTGGGGGACAAAGAGGGAAATGTTGAGAGTATAGTTTTCCCAACGCTTTTAGGGTGGAGCGTGGGGATGAATGTTGCAGCGGGGAAAAGGTGGAGGCAGTGGAGATGTCATGTTGAGGGCAATGTGTGGTGTGAATATAATGCAGAGAATCGTAGTTTAAAAGTTAGGAGGAGGTGGGGATTTTTCAAAATGTTGTCCGAGGGTGAGGAAGGGTTGTTAAAGTGGTTGGACTGTAGAGAAAATGGGCAAAAAAGAATGATTCAAGGTGTATCTCTTCGTGGAAGGAAGGGGGGTGGGTCGGCATGGAAAAGGTTGGAGGGGGGGGGGTTAAAGGGGTTTGTGTGCGAGGGGTTGGACATCCAGCGGGCATCCCACGAGTGTTTTGATAGGAGGAATGGGAAAAATGGTTTTTATATTGACGTGCTGTTGGAGTGTGAGCAAAGTAACATTTATAAAGGGGTTTCGGGGAAACCGGCAGGCCCGGACTTGAGCCCGGGAGATGGGAAGTACGTGCCTGCACTCTGAAAGGGGGGTGTTAATGTTGCAATTTAAAAACTTTTGTAAAAAGCACCCTTCGGGCAAGACAGTGATGGAGTGAATCAGGGTGAAAGTTTTTCTTTTTGGGCCCCCCTGCCTTGGTGGGAAATGGCCGTGTGTTAATAATAAAAATAATAATAATAATTTTATATATATTTTTACTTTATATTATATATATAATTATATAATATATTATATATATTTATATATATATATTATATATATATTATAATTATATATTTATGTCGTGCCGAACATGTAAAATGGTCAATTAGCAAGAACTGTTTAAAATTATCCTTTCTAAAATTTTCTCTTACACGTTTAAGAATATTTTTTTCTTTAAAATGTTAAAGTAATTTTTTTAATTTTGCACCAAAAAAAAATCTTGCTTACCTAACCTTTTATAAAAAGCGCAATTTTTTTTAGCCTAACCCAACTAAATATATCTTGATTTGTTTCCAATAATTTAATACTAAAAAAACAAGTGAAATATATTTTTTTTCGTTAGGTTAAGAAAGATTTTTTTGGGGATATTATTGCTTCACAAATTTTCGCTTTCCTATATGGCAAAATGAGCGTTGTATTTAAGCCCAAAATCGCAAGTTTTTGCCCTTTTGGCACGAATTAAAATATAATATAATTTTAATATATATATATTTTTATATTATATTTTTTTTATATATATATATTTCAGTAAGGTCACAGTACAGGTGATTTTTAGAATATGAAAACAATCTGTGAAAGAAAAGAAAATTCCAAAGCGCTTTCGTGATTATCACTTATCAAGGAAAAAAATAAAAAATAAATTTATCAAAAGGGAATGCAAAAAAAAGGGTCTAGACCAACCTCACTTCACACCCACAACAAAACAACACCTGACGTGCGACTCTAGCAATTTTAAAAGATTTTAATTACTTTCTTTGGTATTTCTTTTTTTGCTATTTCATAAAATTTTTATATTTCTTAACTTAAAAACTGGACTACAAAAAGCAAACTCTCAAAAACCTGATAAGAAAAAAGAACAGTTTTAACCCATTTGATGTGAAGAAAAATTTGTGTAATAGGAAGGATTATTTGAAGGTTTTTTGTAAATTTTAAATTTGAATTAATTATTACCCCTTTAAAAATTAAAAAAATAGAGGGAAAAAAGGGAATGAGTTTTTTTCTTCAAATCAACAGGAAAGTTTTAGAAAGGGCTAAGCTATTTAAATTTTCCAAAGAAATGTAATTGATAAATCTTTAAAAAAGTTAGAAAAAAACTTTTTTCAATCCAAAAGGGGGCAAACCCGCTTTTTAACTAAAATTCGTTGGTTCTCCCTTACCCTGAAAATTGGTTGATATGCCCTTTTTCTTAAAACTTTTTTATTAAAATTGATTCAAAATCTTGATACGTAAAAAAACTTTTGATAAAGAAAATTCCCCCGAAAAGCTGATGGATGTTCTATAAGATTTCTTGTAAAATTTGCGATAAAGTTTATTACGGTCAAACTGGTAAAAAACTCGAAAATAAAATTTAAATAAGTAAAAAGGGCACAAAATGAAAATGTACATTTATTGTGGCAAAAGTTTCCCTCCCAGGAGCTTTTCAAGCCCTTACAAAAAATACATGGACACAGGGGTATATAAAGGCTCAGGTGAGGGAATTCTGTGAGGTACCATTTAGA